CGGCGGGGAGGCGGCAGGGGAAGGGGCTGCGGGTGCCACTGCCAACAGACTGCCGTCAGCACGGATCCTGCTCCCTGGGATAAAACAGCCCAGCCCAGGTCCATCCGTCCCCGTCCCGTCCCGTCCCGTCCCACCCCAATGTGGGGGATTTCGGAGAGAATTTTTGCACAGGAAGCACTGAGATAGAAAGTGAAAGCCAACACATAGAGGAAGGGACACGGGGGAAGCACATGGGATCCTCTAAATCCCATCACGGCTCTGGGGATCGGTGATTTTAGGCACTGGCATCCCAAATCCATCACCACAGCTCTCCAGCCCGAAGCAGAGGGAGCAGCAGCCAGCAAGGGCTTCCCAGGAGAGCACAGCCCCTTCCCTGCCGAGTCCCCCAGATCAAAGCAAGCCCCGTGCATTATCCCGGTGCTCCGGGGAGCGCTCCCGCCGCGGCGGCCACAAAGGGAACAAGAGCTCCCGCATTACCAGCGAGTGCATCAATTACTTCCAGTGGCTGCCTTGTGCTAATCCGCTTCCCCCCTTTTCCCCAGGCCGAGTGTTTCGGGGACAGCCTGCCGAGGGGGCGACCGGGCGGCCCCGAGCAGCTCTGCGTGTGCAGGCAGGGACAGGCAGCGGCGGTGGGAAGGAGGTGGCGCGAGTCTGCAAGAACAGAGACGATGCATCAACATAGGGGGGCTCAGGATTTCGGCAATCACGCTCCCACCGACCGCTCTGCCAGGATTATCCTTCACTGAGCCTGACCCGGGCTAAAAGCTGGGGAGGATGCATGGATGGGGACACGGCACTCTCTTCCCTGCTCTTCTCTTTCCTCTGTTTCGGGCAGGGCACACCAGGTGGTACACAGAGCATCCCAATATTGGCAGGGCAAGCTCCTCGTGGGACTTGCAGCCCTTTTGGGGTATCGGCAGAGACCCCCATGGCCATGGACCGATGCCACTGCTCTCTAACCACTAGGCATGGGGCCACGCACCCTGTGGCACGGAGCTGGCACGGTGCCCTCTTGCCAAGCCAGCAGTGTGGCAAATCCACTGTCACCATCCTGGCTGCCACATCCCTAGACCTGCCTGTCTGCCAAAGTCACCCTGACCCCCATAACACCGCAGCACGGCGATGTCCCCGTGACTGCCATGGCCACCCTGTGGCAGCCGTTGGGGGTACACACCCCATGCCGATGCTCAGACTTCAGGTGTCGCTGGGCTGTTTCACCTCTGCATTCCCCCATAGCAGCCAGAGGCAGAAATTTTTGGGAAGTAAAAAAAGTCTGTCCTCGCCCCCAGCTGCATGGATGGATGTCTCTGCACCGTGACACAGTGCAGGACATTAATTTGTCCCCATGCCAGAGCAGGCGGAGACTCCTGTGTGCTGGAGTGGGACAAACCCCCATGCAGGGCGCTGAGGACCACAGAGCCAAGAGGTGACATCCCAGCACGACCTGAGGCTGTACCAGCCCCACAGCTCCATCCGGATCCACTTTTAGGGTGCTGCAGCCCCCTGCCCCTCACCTGGCACTGGGTTGCCAGGCTCCTGCATCCATCCACCCTCTTCCTCCTCCTCACCCCTCCCCGGCCCCATGCGACCATCCACCACCACGAGCCAGCATCACTGATGCCCGGCCACAGGACCAGAGTCCGAAACCCCGCAGCCCCCGGGGCTGAGCGAAGGGGAACTTCCCGGGCGGCCTCTCCTTTTAATTGGTGCTAATTGCTGCGTCTGTTCGTGCTGGCTGGGGAGATGTCATTGTTGAAAGGCACAGAGGGGAAGGCTCGGGGAGCTAATCCAGCTTTCAGCCACTAAGCCCTTCGGAGGCGGGTGATGGAGAAGCTCTTTCAGGTCCCTTCAGAGAGGGCACAAAGCCTGAGAGGGGAAAGGGAGAAAGAAGGGGAGCGAATCAACAGGAAAAACTACTTTCACACGCAGCTCGGGGAAGGGTCTTTGTGCGCCGGGCTTGTCGGGGGGAGCTTGAAGGGACCACACTGGGCCCCCGCCCTCCTCTGCTCTCCCTCGTTTATCTTTTCAGCCCCATCTGCCAAAATGGTGATGCAGCTGGGGGCATGAATGCTCAGGAGCACGGCCCTGCGGAGTGGGACCCTGACCCTGCAATGGGTGGACAAGACCGACCGAGGGACCGGAGATCTGCAGATGCTCCCCCAAAATGAGCTTCCTCCGGTTTAACCCCTTTTGCGCCGGCAGAGCCACCTCCACTGCCATCACGCTGCTTTACCGGAGGATTTGGTGGTGAGGAGGATGCGGTGTGGGATGCCACAAGAGCGGCAGCCATCGGGTTGGGGTCCTCCTTCTGTTCCAGGGGGTTTCCATGGGTTCACCCACCAGCTGGAGCCCTCCCCTGCCCGACCTGGCGGCAGCTGGAGGCAGTGGCTGTGGGCAGCATATGGAGTTGAGGTGGTTTGGGTTTTTTTTGCCCCCAAGCTTTGCTCCAAAACTCATCTTTCTGAGACAAGTGGGAAAACGCAAGGACTGACACATTCCCACAGGGCATCAGGTGGTTTAAAGCATTGGTTCTGGCACTCGCTTTGAATCTGCTGCCTTTTTAGCCGTTCTTAGAAGAAATCCACTGCAACATATATATATTTAAGCCGACAGCCGGGATCTCAACAAGACATCAATCACAAATACTAACAAGTCCCTCTGACCTCTGGCACATCCACTGAGGCTTTCAGGGGCTGATTAATGGTACAGCTTTCCCTTGTCTTCATCCTTCCACCACCCCCTGGGACTGAGGCTCCGGTCCAGGAGGAGCAAGAGGCTGTTCCTCCCTCTCCCAGACCTTCGTGGGGCTCTGGCGTCCCCCAACCCCATCCCAAAACAGGACAAAAGGCAAAAACCTCCACCAAAATCCCACAAAGACTGATGAGCGGGACAGCCAAGCAATGCCAGTTTGATGTTTTGGAAATGTTTCGTTTCAATGGAACTCATTTAACTCATGGAAACCTTTGCAAGGACAGACAAGCTAAAACGGCCACACAAAGCGCCGTGCCAGACTGAATGCAAATGATAAAATGTTGAATTGGGGTATCTCAAGTATTTCCTTAGTCTCTGCCAGGTTTTGCTGCCCCAAACCCCATCTTGCAGGGGATGGCCACGATTCCTCCTCCCAGCCCAGGGATGGCCAGTTTGCTGCCTAAGGGAACGACACTCAGCTGGGCATCCCACAGCAAGGTTTGCTGACCAGCTGGAAGACACCGGTGATTTTTTGGAGGGTTTTGGTGCTTTGGCGCATGGCAAAACCACCGCACCTCTTGGGGGGGCACCCACAGCTGAGACAGGGCAGCAGCTTGAGCCCTTCCCAGCCCTCCAGTGAGGAGGATGCTCCACAGCATCTCTGGACAAGCACCGTCCATTGCTTCAGCTCAGCTCCCATCACTTCCACCCCAGTGACCTGTTTTGGGGTTTCAGTGCCAGAAAAATAATTAAAAAAAATTTAAAAATCACTTACCCAGACACTCGTTGGCCTCACGGGCACTGGCCCGCTGCCAGGGCCGGTCGTAGTGGAAGGGTTTGCAGCGGTCGCACTCGGGACCCTCCGTGTTGTGCTTGCAGTCGCACACCAGCTTCTGCTCCTTGTCCTTCACGCAGCGCGCCGCATGCCCATTGCATTTGCAGCGCCCGCCGACCTGCAGTTCCCCCACCGCATAGTAATAAGGGGTTGAGCTGGTGCCCCCCTCCTCCTCGCCGGCATCCCGGCCACCTAGGTCGCGGAAGAGATGTGGGCGGCTGAAGACCACGCGGATGTCGGTGGCCGTCACCCAGTCCTGGAGCACGGGGCTGCTGTCAAAGTCCTGGGCGGAGGGTCGCCCGTCGAGAGTGCTGAAGGCGATGAGCCCGCCGGTGAGGGGGTAGAGGTCGGTGAGGCCATCGGTGCAGAGGGCCTCCTGCTCGTTCTGCTTGGTGACTGTGGCTTTGCTGGGTTTGCCATAGATCTTACGGCACTGGGAGGAGTAGTACTGGTACGGCACCCAGGTCTTGCCGTAGTCCATGGATTTGAGGATGGCGGTGGACTCGGGCCGGGGCGAGCAGAACTGGAGGCTGACGTAGACCACCTCAAACTTCTTGCCGAGGGAGAGGGTGAGGGTGACGTTCTGGGGCGAGTGGTGGAGGGTCTCCGAGCGCCAACATGTCATGTTGGAGGCGGTGTTGAGGTCGGTCAGGTAGGCGGGTGGGTGGGCTCGGCGGGGGTCCGAGGCATTGCAGTGCCGCGTCGGGGGCTTCCCGCACGTGCTGGAGGCTTGAACCTCCTTCCCGAAGGCGGCGTTGACGAATTCAGGGATGCAGCGGCGAGGAGCTCCACTCTCATCGTAGCAAGGGTCTGGGGGGGTCTGCTGGGCTACAAAGGGGTTCACTGTCTGGGAGAGGCCCAGCATGGCGGTGGTGAGGAGCAGGCGCAGGAGCTGCAGGACCTCCATCCTCCTGGGGCAAGAGAAGCGGCTCCTCCCTGGGGCAAGAGCAAAGAGGATGAATGGCGCTGGCAGCCCCATTGGCAGCGGCACGGCCACAGCACTGCCAGTGCGAGAAGGCTGGGATGGGATGGGATGGGATGGGATGGGATGGAATACACCCCATGTCTGGCCCTCGACCCGTGCCCACCTACCCAGCCCACATCTACTGGTGCAGCATCCTGGGAGTGGGGCAGGGAGGCGATTACTGTGCGGTGCCTTATCCACAGCAATCCCTCGCCGCTCGTCAGCAAGAGCGAAATACAGTGGGAAATGGCAGATGGAGCTGAGGTTTGGAAGGAGGAGGTTAAAATCAGGGTCCAGCCCTTCCCCGGCCTCTTAACGAACTGTCTCAGGAGTGACAGGAGCGTTCACACCTGCCTGCAGCCCTGGCCGTCACGCACAGCTCGGAGACCCCCATCACCGCACAGCTGCCGAGGAGAGGTGGCGGGGAAGAGCTGGGGAGACCTTTCACTGCAAACCTCAAGTTATCCAACTGCAGCCTGAAACAGCTCCCGCCAGCACAGGAGAAAGGAGCAGCAGCAAAAACACCTTGCGGGGACATTTTGCACCAGGCAGGAGCTCACTAGGATGAAGCCCCAGGGCTCAGCTGGGGCTGGCACCACTTTCCCTGCCATGCCATAGCCCCAGAAGCATCCTACTGGCCATGGGTACGGTGGCTTCTCCCAGTCAGGGGTTGGATCCCCTTCAAATCCCACTGCCACACTACCTGAGTATTCCCACTGGCAAAAGGAGGTTATTCTGGCGTCACCACCAGGAAACCCAGGTCTGGGTCTGGCCTCTCTGTTAATGGAGTGAAAAGCAAGGACCAAATGCAGGGCTTGGCTGGGCTCCTCTCCCAGTGGCCACAGCACAGGGCCAGGTGATGCTGGGTGGCTCCCAGGGGACATGGCCCATCTCCTGCACCACTGGCTTGGAGGATGGAAGAGGGACCGCAGGTCATGTCCCCTTCTGCCGGCTCTGGCTGCAGCAGGAGCATCCCACAAGATGCAGATCGGCCATGCCCCATCCTCAGCATCATGCCAGCCGCCATGGCTCACACGCTCACTGGAGAAAGGCCTCGGGCGCTGCAGCTGGCGGTAGACCCCTGAGCTGCCCAGCTGGGTGGATGGCATCAGCCCTGCCATCCCACGTGCTTGGCTGGAGGGGCTGTGCTGAGTGCTGCCCGCCCCAGCCACCGAGCCAGGTTCTCTGCCCTCTACCAGCCACAGCCAGGGCATGCAGAGGGGATCCCCCCACACTGTCCGCTCTCCCACTAGTAAATCCTTATGGGATGACTTGGGTTTTGCTTTTCTCTCTCAGGAACAAAGCATGACCCAGCATGGCAGATGCTGCCCACCTACAACCCCCAACACCGCCCCTGCCTGACCAGCTGCCCGCTCTGGCTGATGGAGGCTGGCAGGGGACAGTTGGTTTCAAATGATCTGGGATTTTCATTTTAGGTTGGTCCCCCCCCCTCGCCTCTTTTTCCAAATAAAAGGAGCCGTGGCTGTGGAAGAAAGCTGCCTCTCTGCAGCCTGCCAAACCACTAATGGGGGGAAGCTCCTCCCTTCCCAGCCACGCTCAGCCGGGCAGCCAGCGCCAGAGCCCGTGCCCACCAAGAGGGGAGCGGGGACAGGGGTCTCAGCCCATCCCCGGGCATCTCCCCCAGGACAAATCCCAACCCTGCCACCTCTGTGCCGTTTCCTCGCTGCTTAATCCTCTGCTGATGGAAACGGAGATGCTCTCTGCTGAAAAATAGGCGGCTCCCTTGGTGGTCTCTGCATCCCCCGCTACCCGACAGCGCTGCAGAGCCTTTCAGGGACGTGCCAGCCCACGGCTCGGTGGCTGAGCAGCCGGCAGGCAGCAAGACAAGGGATGCTGTCCCTGGAGCACCAGGAAGCCCCTACTCAAGTAGTGCAGCATGCAGGCGAGGGCTGTGGGAGCAGAGAGGGGAGCAACTGGGACGCAGCAGTCACCGCAGCAGAGTAAGCGCCATGCTGCAAGCGTCAGGCTGCGAAGAGCATCCCCCGGGAGCCCCGGCCCCACCGCAGGCAGCTGCCTCCTGGGCAAGCTCCCCAGCGCCTGCCTGTCTGGGAACTGTTGAGGGAAGACAGTGCCTGGTTAAGCCCCCAGTGCAATCCTGACAGGACCATCCCCAGCCCCTGCCTGGTGCCGGGCAGCGAGGCAGAGCTCTGCTCCTGTACTCACACCCAGCACAGCGGGATGTGAAATGCTGACGGACCCACCCTGCAATGCCCGGCAGGACCTGGCCATGCATGTACCTGCGGATACCCAGCACAACTCCTCCAGCCCTGTGATGCTGCCAGCTTCCCCGCCATCCCCGTCCCACCACACACCCCATGGAGGGGGACCCAGCTGGGTGCAGCCACCACTACCTCCCACCCCGCCAGCCCCAGGGCAGCACCGAGCATGGGGACAACCCCGTGGTAAGACCTCTGCACTGGGAGGAGAGAGGAGAAACCCCCTGGGGATGCCTCAGCAGCTGCATCCATCCACCCCAGGATAACTCAGGGTATATCCAACAAGGCCAAACCCTGCCAAGGAATCTCCTCCACTCACCACCTCCTCTGCCACATGGCACCAAGGGGACACAAGTAGGGCCATGCTCAGGTGTGCCACCTGCAAATTCCCCATTTGGTAAGACACAAAGGTGTTGGGAAACCCTTGACCAGGGGAGAAAGACAGCACCAGAACCCAAGAGCAAGGGGAGAGCCCAGAGAAGAAGGTGTCAGCAGGGCTGGGACCGGGGTTACTGCTGCTTTTGGGACACATGGGGAGCGAGCATCTCCTGCCCGTCCCCCCTGCCCTGATGCGAATCTCTGTCCCTCCCACCAGCCATACCAAGGCGCAAGCCCATAGATTCGGTGCCCAACTTTGGGGGGCTCGGCTCCGGCCGGGGAGCAGCCGCCGGGGAGCCAACGCTTGCCCAGTGGCGCATCGGCACTGCGAAGGCAGGGCATGAATGGAAATCATTATCATCGCCGAGACCACACACAGGCGTGCACGCTCCGCGCTCGGCTCACCCCATTATCCCGCTGAAAGAGAGCCAGGGCCGGTGGTCTCCGTGGGCTTCACCTCTGTATCGCAGAGGAGGGCAAGCTGCAATCTGCTCCCTTTTATGCATATTCAGTGTGACCCCGGGACTGCCGGCAAGCTGCCAGAGAGGCCCGGGAGTGGGTATTTCTCTCCCCGGCCCCCATCTGCCCCCCCTTTCCACTTCCCATCTTCACTGCCCCCAGTTCAGATCAAATGGAGATGCTGCTGACTAAGCAGGGAGCAGTGGGATGAGCTCCTCAGCGCTGAATCCAGCCCAGCACCCGCCTGGATCTGGCACGAGGAGGGACATAAGCGATGGGGTGCATCTCCCAGGGACAGCATCCCACAGGTGTCCCCAGCGAGGCTCTCAGGTGGCCACCAGCTCCCGGCCACCACCGGCACCCGCAGGGCTGGGGGGACACGGTGGCGGGGCTCACCCTTCCCGAGGAAGCGGCCGCCCTCCCGGCTCCTCCCCAGAAGCGGCTGCATTTTTGAGGTGGGCGATTTCCTCACTCCTCCGCTCAGGGAATGCTAACAGCCATGTGGTTTGGAAGGAAGTCATGCTGCCGTAGCGCTTCAGAAGTGCTTTAAAAAAAAGAAAAAAATTAGCTACCGCATCCAACGCCTCCACACCCCTTCTCCCTACAGCAACAACGCTTCCCAAGGCGACTGGCGGCGTTTCCCCGCCTCGCAGGAGGCTTGTCGGGGTGATGCTCCAGCCCGCTGTGGGTTCTCCTTCCCACCACCTTCCCGGGAAGCAGCGCTGCCAAGGGCGATGCATGCCCAGAGCTCTGCGTCTCCTGAGGCCGAGCCATTGAGCGGGTGCTTGGTCCCCAAAATTGAATGCAGGAGGCAGGTGCAGCAGGTGAACCAGGGCAAAGAGAGCAAACTTCCCCCAATACGGATGCTGGTGCCTACAGCAGGCCCAGGGTCACCACCCAGCAGACCGGGGCAGCGGCAGCTTTGCAGAGGTAATTATAGGATTAAGTGGAACAACACAGGGCGGGGAGGGAAGGGGGTTATTAGCCAGATTTGATCCTGGGACCTTTGCAGCGCAGGAGCAGCCTTCTCTAATTAAAGCGGAGGGGGAAGGCGTGAGCGGCCCGAGCAGCGCTCCACTGCAGCTCTGCCACTGAAAAATGTGGGTTTAAAGAGCAGGCGATGGCTAAAGCCAAGCAGCCATCGCTGCCAGGGAGGGCACAGCCCCAAGGGATGGCAGGGAAATGGTGCATCCCTCCTGCCAGGGACCTGCGCTGCTCCCCCCGGTCCTCTGCAATGCCACTGGCACGGCGCAGCGGGCTGGGTTTCTCCTGCGGGCCCTGCAGCAGGATGTGTGGGGTGCTCGCACCCCTCAAAAAAGGCTTGTGGCCTTACGGAACCGGTTGGGACAGGGATGCCTGGTTCCCACAAGGTGCCGATTCACCCTGTGCAGAGGGACAAGGTCCTGGGTGCCATCACGAGGCAGGAATGGGTCCAGTCACCTGCACGGGGCACCAAAAGGCTCTGCTGTGGAGCAGGGGGCAGAAAACCCCAGGAAGGACCAAAGGACCCGAGCGCTTGAGGGGATCCAGCAACTAGATCCAAAGTGCTCAGGTAGGGCTGATCCACAGGGACTGCTTATCCCCGGAGCTGCGGCATCCCCAGAAAAGCCTGGCAGCAGCTCAGGTCCCCTCTGAGCACAAGGGGACTTGGGGGACAAGAGACAAAGCAGAAGAGGAACTATGCACTCAGAGAAGCTGTAACTGGGCACAAACGTGTCCCTTAACCAGGATGCATCTGCTACCAGACCTTGCACATTCCCACCTCGTTACAGGCCCTTTCTAATGACAGCATCCCCACTCCCTTACCACCCGTGCTGCAGGGGTGACCCAGTGCAGATCTGCCCCAACCCCATGAACAGGATCCCCCTC